ATTTCCTTGTTCTAACATCTGGCTACAGTTAATCTCTTGACTTGACTTGACTTGACTTGATCCAAGCTGCAGCTGTGTGGAGGCCACGCCTAATTGTTGCAGCCCCTTTAAGTGGCAGCAGCAAGGACCCCTGTGCTCAGGAAAGTCAAAGACATAAACAGCAGAACCGTTGTGCTATTGTTTTCAAATAAAATGAAACACTGAACAAGGTTATGTAAGAAATGACCAGTTTTCTCCCAGTAGAAGGTGTTACCACCAGAACCACTACCATCAGGTCAGTCATTCAACTAATCAAATATGGCCCCAGCTCCTTTTGAGTGATGCTTATCCAGTTAACGTAATGCTGGCTTATTATTTATATAAAAACAGTTACAGTTCCCTAAATGAAACAAAAATGTTGTGCTCAAGGCATTGTCACTGTTTGTACTACTCTCACATGTATCTGTTTCATGTTGCGGGCCATTCTAACATGAACTGTCGTATGTGATATTATTGATAGATGCTATGGACAGACTGCTGTGGGGCATTTGAAAATTACCTACCTTGCTTGCAATCTGAGAGCATGACTCTGGGTGTAACATATTTTTCATGTGGATGTGCCTTGTGAGTATGTTCTTCTCTCATCTGAGAAACAGTGGGTTGGTGATGGTAACCATTTTGGATCTTGAATGAAGTACAATCAAGTTTTTTTTTTTAATGAGTTGAAAGCAAAGTTCCAACTTGTTACACAGCTCAAAGCAACAAAGCGAACAAGGCATCTTATTTACAGCAGACATTTTGGCTCGTGGTTGTGGGAAAAGTCCAGGTGTAACTAATAACATTAATGATGGCTGTGTTCCATTGAAATGTCCTGGTAAGTCTTGACTGGGAGTCAGCATGAACAATACCATGACCCTGAAACTACAACAGCTGTTCAGCAATCATTCATTTTATTATTTACACATGATTTTTCTACTGTGGCATGTCTGAATTTATTTAGTGATTAAAGGCCTATTCACCACTGCAGGATAGAACATGACATCCGCAGTGCTGCTTTCTTTTAATGTCTCTCACATTAGTGCTTATGCCCTAGTCTGCCAAATTAAAATAGGTTTTCTAACACTTTAACCTACAGTAGTCAGTGTTGGGGAATCACTAGTTACTGTAATTAAGTTACAAATGAAATGTAATTGTAATCAGTAACAATTACTGAGCAAGAAATATGTGGTTAAATTACAGTTGCTGACAGTGGGATTCAGCACAGCCACTGGAACAAGTAACACCATCAAGGGTAAAATGGCTTACAAGGAGCTGTGTCTATATTTATGTTACGGGTCTCAAAATGGTGCAACTGCTGCCTTCACAATGGTTCCCACCAATGGTTCCTACCTAAATCAAATCAAATCAAATCAAATTTTATTTGTATAGCGCCAAATCACAACAAAAGTCATCTCAGGACACTTTACAAAGTAAGGTCTAGACCTTACTGTTATCAATATTATTACATAGGGAAAACCCAT